CATGAGTCAAAATGTAAACAATGTTATCAATGTTTGTAGGGCTGTGAAGTCCCACTCCACTTGTGGATTTTAGCGTAACAAAGTTCTTTATTTAGGCACCAATTTAATGCAAGCCCAGAAATTTGAAAATATGTCCCTGGGTTTGTAAAACACATGAGGTCCTTTGGAATGCACGGTACCTCTGGTGTTTCGTGTCATTCAGCTCCCTTCCTGAACGATCTCAGTCTGGTGCTTGCCAGACTGGTGGGAATTGGGCAGACCAAAGGCAGGGAACCGGTCAGCATTTTCAGTCAGTCTTTGCAGCTTGATCTGGGGGGGAAAGGGCAGGACTGCGCCTAACCTTGGGGGCTCCTTTAGTGTCTGCCATGCGAACAGACCACGCAGCCTGCAGCCACTTGGCACTGTAAGGGTTGCAGAGAGAAGTGGCCCAGCAGGCACTGTAGCTGCCTTTGGGCTTTCAAGCAGACACAAGAACAATAAACTTGCATTAATTTTGGCTGAATTTCATGTATCAGAAGACTATTTAGCATATAGCGGGGTTTCTCTCAGACAGTGATCGATAAGGAATTTCCAGGGTTGGTTTATTCAGCTGCTCCTATCAAAACATCAGGCTCCAGGCAGCCTTCCTGCCCATCCTCTGTAGTCCACATCACCTCTCAGTTTTTCGAGAGGTGCCTTTCTCATCTAAACTATGCAGACCAGCATTTTCTATTCCCATTAAGCTTTGCTTTCTTTCTCCACACATTGCTTTGGCACATCATCTACCTTCATCTAACTAGTTAAGGATAATATAACTGAGGACATCACGGGTGGAAGGAGAGCACCAGAGCCTGAACAAGTTGCAGTAATGAAGTCTGTGGGCAGTCAGATGAAGTGAGGTACCTGAAAAATGCCATGCATATGTACAATTGGAGGATGTTGGTGGGCAAATTACTTTGATTTTGTCTTTTTTATACTGTCCTTTACACGTTCAAGTACTACTGTAGCTGGCAGTGGAAAAGAGCAGGAAAGCAAGGTCTGGAAGGTTTCATCTGGGGACGTGACTATTAGATGAGTTAATCTCATACGAAGCACATCATAAAGCACTGCTGGTATGTGATAGTTGACCTCCAACAGGAAGGGATCTATGTGATCTGAAGAGTGTTCATTAGGAAATTGAATAATGAGGGGAAAAAGCACAACACACAGTTAAGGTGGAACTGGCATTTCCAGCTTCCTGTCTTACACTGCTAAAGGAAACCTGGGTCTTGCTGGTTGAAGGCTTACATTCAGCCAGCCCATAGAAATGTGTCCTCCTGGTCTGGTCACTCAATGACCAAAGCATTAAGCCGTGATTGCCCCATGCTGGAGGCTCCCTCTGGCACAGCAGAGGCAGCCGGTGGGGTGAGGTGAGCAGGATCGGTGCCAGGGAAGCCAGGAGAGCTCAAACCATGCTCTACCGACACGGCCCTGAACACCCAGCCCTGCCCTCTGCCCTCTTCCCACCAGTTTGATCCTCAGAGTTATCAAATACTCTATGGCGCAGAGAAAATTTCCTCTCAGCTTATAGATACATAGGTGAATTAAAAGAATTTAAGGGGTGGTAACCATTGTCCCATTACTCCCACCCACAACGACAGCCAGTGTTGCGTGACGAGGAAAAGCCCCCTTCTCACTTTCTCTGCTCTCCTTCCAGATCAAAATAGCAGCTAGAGTTACCCCTTTACCCCTGCACACCTCCCTCAAGTTAAAATTATTGCCACAGTTGATTAGCGTGCCGGTGCTTTTTGCACCGAGTTCATTATGGAGGATATTAAATGAAATTGGCCGCAGGAGCAGTTCTGGAAGAAAGGCGCAGAGCCTGTCTCTGGATGTATAGTCCCTCTCATTATATCCCCACTTGCTGGTTTCTTACCTGCTATACATTTCGCACACTAATTTCCATCTTTTCAAGCTTAACTAATGATTTCCCATGTGGACCTGTATCGAATGCTTTACTAAAGTCCAGATCAACTACATCTACTGCATTTCCTTCCTCCAAAAAATGTAGTTTCTTAATATCGAATGCTTTACTAAAGTCCAGTCCTTCCTCCAAAAAATGTAGTTTCTTATCAAAAACAGAGAGAGGGCTCATTTGGTAAACCTTGCTGTATTTCATTGCGTTTCCTTCTATAGCTCTTAACATGATTTAGTAAAGAAACAAATTTTACGTAATAAGGGTGTGCACACAAACACAGGTATCTTTCTTTTTCCCAGTAACATTTGAATCTCTTGGCCAATTTCAAACAGCTTTGTCAAAGGAGTAAAGTTCACAAAGATTAAAATCCATTCCTATGCAAAAACAGACTTGCAGGTTGAGGCAAGAAATCTTATTTGTGCTCCTACCAAAGGGAACACTGCGGGACCTTACCATCGTTGGGCAATAAGGTGTCCACCTGGAAGAGCATCATTTTAAAACCTCCACTTTGGGGAGACCATTGACCAAAGTCTATACCTTCTCGGCCACTGGAGAAAGAGGAAGTCCAGGCTTGATAGATACCTCTGCCACTCACCAAGCTGCTTGTTCAGAAGCCTCAGTGAGGTCAGACTAATGGGTCTGTAGGTGCCTGTGCGACTTACCTCCTTCTTATACCTAAATTCTATAGATATAACAAAGCCTTTGCATCAATTAACACAAACCGCTCCCTGAGCAGTGGAAACGATGCAGCCTCATTCCTACAGCTGTACAGGCCAAGGAAAAGAGAGCCAATTTGAGAAGCGTGAGGCTTGGGAATGAAAGACTTGGACTGCAGCTAGGTTGTTTGCTGGCAGGCAGGACATGTGCTCCCCATGCCACGGCATCCCCTGGCAAGGCACCAGAGACATGGTGCATGCCAGCAGCTTTTTGCTCTGTCCTCTTGGAGCTCGCTCTACTGACAGGGACTGTGCTGCTCCTAACAGGGGCCACCTTGAGAAAACACTACCCTGCTAAATAAGAGGTCCAGGGAGCAAGTGCTGGATGTTTTGACTGCTCATGTTGCTTACCTGCTGTCTCATTTTGGGTGTGTTCTGTTGTCTTCAACAACAGCTCTCCAAAAAGAAATCTCCATCTCCAGCGGACGTGAGCTGGTTTTGCTCAAGGATCAGTCTTTGACCCTCTTTTAATTAGTGGTATGATAATAGCCCCTACAAATCCAGGTTGTCCATATGGAAACCTTCCAAGACTATGGAGACATGGGAACATGAGGTCTGAGCAGGTTCCTCTCCATCAAACCGCTGTCACTGTTCAGGGCCACGGTGGTCCCAGCTTCATTATATTAATGGGCATTAGCCAACCCCTCTGGAAGGCTGCATCTTTCCCAGGATGTAGGGAGTGGTGGAGGCTTGACCCTGCTAATATGGAGATATTATTAGAGGAGCCTCTCCTCTACATCAGCATCAGCCTCAACCTCCTGCTCAGGAGGTGGCCAGAGAACACCACGCTTGGTGAAGGAAGGTGCGAGGGGAGCGGGGAGAAGGCTACCAGGATGAGAAATGCACCTCTGTGTTCCTGCTCTTTCC